CTTTTGGTAGTGGTATTTGTTGAGAACAGTGTAGACAGTCCAGAACAAGCTGAGTGTGCTCCCAAAGAGCAGAAAGTCAAGTTGAGGCTTTGGCCCTGCATAAAAGCAGGTGGGAAAATCCACAATTCCTAAAACCATTATCAATCTCAGTGTCTGAGATAATTGATAAGTCTTCCAGTAAGCATTTGTGATAGGTGGTTAAGAGTTTGCCAGGGGAATTAGAATTTTTTTTTTTTTTTTGAGACCGAGTCTCACTCTGTCGCCCAGGCTGGAGTGCAGCGACGTGATCTCGGCTCACTGCAAGCTCCGCCTCCTGGGTTCACGCCATTCTCCTGCCTCAGTCTCCCAAGCAGCTGGGAGTCTAAAAGGCCATTCTTCAGAATGTTATAGAGTAATTATACTTGGGTGCTGAACTTACAAGTTATCTTATTTTCTTTGTGCCGTATTCCTTCTAATTTTGTAACAGCAACATGATACTTTTGTAAGTAGAAAGCATCTTATTTCTTGAAAAGGAAATTTTACAATTCTGATGCCTGGTTTGTCCTTACCTTTTGAAACCACCTCCTTCTGTGTCTTTGACTTAGAGAGCTCAGAGTCCTGCAATGCTAGTAGCATCTCTTTGTCATGGGCAGCAGTGCATGAAGCCTCCTGCAGAGTCAGGCTCATTTGCAAGTGGCAGGGGATTCTGGACTGCCCACATCATTAAGAACTAGTATAATCAGAATGCTCTAATGATTAGCTTAACTGTCTTGTCAGTCTTTGTATGATTCACTCTACTAGTCCTCTATTGTAAAACTTCTTTTCATTTTTTAAAAAAGTTTCTAGGCTGGGAGTGGTGGCTCACACCTGTAATTCCAACACTTTGGGATGCCAAGGCATGCAGATCACTTGAGGTCAGGAGTTCAAGACCAGCCTGGCCAACGTGGTGAAACCCTGTCTCTACTAAAAATACAAAAATTAGCCGGGCATGGTGGCGAGTGCCTGTAATCCCAGCTACTCGGAAGGTGAACCGAGATCACACCATTGTACTCCAGCCTAGGTGACAGAGTGAGACTTCATCTCAAAAATAAACAAAGAAATAAATAAGATTCATTGTACGTCATTTCACTTAAAGACACAGTTTCTAAGAACTTATTGGCAACATTAAGTGAGGACTTACTGTATATTAAATTCTTTCTTTGAGACAGAGTCTCACTCTGTCCCCCAGGCTGGAGTGCAGCAGCATGATCTCAGCTCACTGCAACCTCTGCCTCCTGGGTTCAAGCAATTATCCTGCCTCAGCCTCCTGAGTAGCTGAGATTACAGGCGTGTGCCACCACACCAAACTAATTTTTTGTATTTTTAGTAGAGACGGGGTTTCGCCATGTTGGCCAGGCTGGTCTCATACTCCTGGCATCAAAGTAATCCACCCACCTTGGCCTCCCAAAGTGCTGAGATTACAGGTGTGAGCCACCACGCTCAGCCTGTATGTAAAATTCTGATAAGTTTGCTCACAAATGCTTCTTACAGGTTTTAATTACAAATAATGATTAAAGCACAACCTCTCTTCAAGGCATTCGAGAGTAGAATTTAGCTCTAATGTAGGTTCATGTTAAACAAAAACAATAGAGTTCTTTTTGGAACAATGTCTCACCAATAAGGTAGTGAATCCCATGGCCTGGTCTCAGAGAGATGTAGACTTCTCAGTCAAGAGTTCTCATGAGATAAAGATACAATGTTGTGTCTGTACTGGATAGACACAAAAGCAAGGGAGAAGAGCTGCATGCTCCCTTTTGTGTGTGTTTTTCTGTTGGTGAGGATGAAAACATATGGAGGTGTTTAAGCCATCTCCCAAAATGGATCTTTTAAAGGGCAAAGGGATTTACTCTTATGTACACTGAATTAAACTTGATTTCATTTTTTAAAGGTATTGGATACCCAACTTGGCCATAGCAGACAGGAAGGGACACGTCTCTTCTATAGCAAGTCTCATTTTGTTCTCAGGATCAAAGAATCCCTTTGAAATGCACATAAAAGCATTGTCCAATCAGTATCAGAAATAAAAGTCAAAGCACTGTGACAAAACAAAAATTGCTCTGTCCATAGTCTCTCAGTGGCCTTTGGGTGAAAAATGTTGAACACTTTCATAGTGAACAGGTCAATGCACCCATCTGTCTGTGGGTGACACTTGTAGCATGATTTCTCTTAGCAGGCTTTTTTTTTTAGCAAGGTCCTATGCAGAAACAAACATCCTAGAAAGCCATATTAAAATAATTACGTAGTTGAAAAAGTCTATTGGTATCAAGTAGTCCAAAAATCTTCCAGATGGAAAACAGTATTTCCATGCTGGGTGGCAGAAAATGTGGGCATTCAACAAAAGACTGGTTAAGCCTATTAAGGAAATACATATTGGGAGCCTGAGGGATGAGTATGATAGGCTGAAGAGCCCTTCCCCTGCTACAGCTATGATATCCCTCAATCGGCCAACAATGGAGGGCGGGTTCTTAGGCACTTATCAAAAAATAGACATGTTGTGATACCTGGTGTCTAAGGCAACAGATCTCCTATCATGCCTCAGAATGGCAACAGCTTCAGAACTTGCCAGAGACCTGAATCTAAAACTACCTGCTATCCATCTCCTTTCAAACACCTAAAGACCAGGGGAAGGGAATGGGCATTATTGTTTAATGGGCACAGAGTTTCAGTTTGAAAAAGTTCTGGAGATGGATGGTGGTGACGGCTGCACAACAAGGTGAAAATGCTTAACGTCACTGAATTGCACACTCAAAAATGCCTAAGTGGTAAATTTTATGTTATGTAAATTTTACCACAACATTAAAATAAAAAGCCTAAAAACCAAGCTAGGATGCATGACAAATTGTCTCAGGGACATGCTAACCATCCATCTGTCCAGATTCTACAAGCTGAATCACCAACAAGCTACAGACCCATCTAGAGATCCTCAAACAATGTTTTCACAGAATCACACCTTCATACTATGCCCTTACTTTTGGCTGAAGGCAAACACAAGACAGGCCCGCTTGAAGGCTATGGCTACACATTGTATACCACTTTTGGTAAAAACAGTTTATTTTGTTCTGTTTATATACCATTCAATCCCTTTAGAAAGATCCACTATCCACTGAAAAATGTTTCCAAGTTTTTAGTCTATGACCTTTTTTTCTCCTGGCCGAGAAATACTGTTTTAGATATAAGAATTATGAAAACACAGTCACTATATTTCTACATCATAGCAATATTCAGAGGATGCTTAGAGCTTCAATTTTAAGTTCAAGCCTTCTTACACCAAGTATACAACTATAAATAACTTCCTTTGCTGTTGCATTATGTTCTTATGTTTTCATTTTTTTTAATGTTTTCATTCTTATGTTCTTATGTTTTCATTCTTTTTCAGTATCTTATTTTAAGGAACATCAATATCCTTGGGAGGTAGGTGCGTTACATAAGTGAATGAGAGGTCAATTACAGACTATACAATCACTCATGCTGGAGATATATAATAGAGAAAAGGAACATGATCTGGCTAGGTCTTGACTGTCCTATAATGTACTTTGGCTAAAGACTCCAAAAAACAACCATGTAAATTGGAACAAAAAAAAAAGTTTCTTGCAGTCTCAAAAATTATGGCACCTGATTACACATACACTTAGGAAAAACAAACCATAATTACATCCCCATGATTCTAGAAGCACCAGGTAAAATAAGTCATTTAATGCTGCCCCAGTGAGATATACTAAAAGGTCAAACTAACCTTCTCCATCCATTTCTCTCTAAATCACAATGCAAATGAGTAAACAAAAACTTTCAGTACAAAAATGTTGCCAAAAATCTCTGCTAGACAGTAATGCCTGGGTACCTGTTCTTCACATTTCAGGAACTACCATATAAACCAACTCTTGTGCAAGATTAAAAGTATCTTTATTCAGTAATTAGGTAGAAAAATGAGACTAATAGAAAGACAGGGGTAAAAGCTGCCTGGAACATGTTATGGTCTTAACATTAAAGTTTCTTCATCAGAGTTTCCAGTATCCTCTTACAGGACCATCTATGTGGGGAGGTAAGAAAATAACTTAGGAAGATTTTTTAAAAAGCCTCAAATAACTTCTTATTACAACCTCACTAATATATATACTTTAAGCAAATTAATGAAATTGTTATTGATGATGTCAAAATATCTATATGGGGTTGTTTCACAGACAGCTAAAGACAAAATGGTAATAATGTTCTGATAATTTTATACCTCCTCACTATTTTGGACAAGCTATGTTAAATAACGAAAACTCAATATCCCACTTATTTTTAAGTTCATACTAACCCACAAGATATTTCCCCTATGCAAATTTTACTTTGTATTTTACCAGTAAGGTTTGAAGGGGGGGAAAAAAAGGAGGGGGAGAGAATGAGCCTCTGAAGTAGAGAAATCAAACCTTCCTATATGTTGTGTGTGGCACCTTCTATATATTACTTGCGATCAATGTTGAGTTTTAATAGCAGTCTGATATTTGTTCAGTAACATATTACTCACCCATTTGAACATGGTTGATTGCGGGTAGTTTTAACTATCATGGATACCTTTCTATTTCCTAAAGATGTTTCACTTTATATCCTATTTTAGTGCAAAAGACCCACCTATGACTGCCAAAAAGTTTATGTACTTATTATCGACTCAACATAAAAGGAGAAAAATTTCACATTTGGCATTAGTCCCCATACTTCCAAAATGCTACATTCAACATCTCATGCCAAGATCTTGCGCTCATCAGCAATTTTTTAGAAATGCTCAGGGTACAAAATAGCTTACCTAACATATGCAGATGAGCTAGAAAACCACAGTCTTGACTATTACACCATTGCCACCCTTACCTGGTATTGTGAATCTCCAAAGAACTTAAGCTACAACCTCATCAGCAAATGTTACAAGTAAAGTGCCATATCAAAGTCATTTTCTCCTAGAGAGGAAAACAGGCAGGGAAGATGAGGGAGTAGAAAAGATAATTTACCTGCATCAATTTTCTGGAGAGCTCATTAGTGAGGAACTCTTCTTCTTTCTCATAATTTACAGCAAGTGTTTCCTTCTCCTTCTGCAAAGCCTGAATTTTCTTGAATAAAGTGTTACTAATGAATTCTTCTTCCTGCTCAGCCCTGGCTTGCTGTTTAAAAAAAAAAAAAAAAAAAGGAAAGAACAAAACAAAACACGTTAGGGAAACAGGAAATTTACTAATTGAAATATAGTTCTTATTTCCGGAAAGGGTACCCATTTTAAACAGAGCTCTATTTTTAGCTGTGAACCAACACACTCAAGAAATGCAAAACAGAGGAATTCAGCAGAGTCTATAGAAATGAATATTACTATTATGCCAAAGAGGCCCCCCTTCACTATGTGTGGTCCTTATTCTTAAAGTGATACTTCAAAGAAATTAGCAAAGATCACATTGCAGTTTTTATGAAACTGTCCCGAATCAATAACCAGAATACAGAAAGATCCTTCTAATGTAGCAGACGGGTCCAGTCCTGTGCTATGTACATAAATTCATGATAACTCTCACAGGTTGCTACATCTCGAAGGTTTACAATTAAAATATCTGGGCAACATTTTTTTACTGAAGCAGAGCTCAACTCACTTAAAAGTAAAATTATATCACCTCTTTATAATGTCACCTAAAGGGTTTGGATAGGTTTGGATACGCCATTAAAAAGGCATTATGGGCCAGGTAGTGACTTCCACATGTAATCCTAGCACTTTGGGAGGCAGAGGTGTGTGGATCACTTTGAGCTCCAGAGTTGAGACCAGCCTGGGCAGCATGGCAAAATCCTGTCTCTATCAAAAATACAAAAAATTAGCCAGGCATCGTGGCCCACGCCTGTGGTTCCAGCTACTCGGGAGGCTAAGGCAAGAGGATCACTTAAACCCGGAAGATGGAGGTTGCAGTGAGCTGAGATCATGTCACTGCACACCAGCCTGGGTGACAGAGCTGACAGAGATTATGTTGTCTCAAAATAATAAATACAATAAAAAATAAAAGGCATTACAAATGTACACGGACACATGTTCACTGAATAGCTGAATAATTACTAGAAAAAAAAAATTACACCAAATGGCTGAAAACTAGTTATTAGGAGGTAGTGGGAATCTAGGGGTGAGGGGTAAAGGGGGGTGAGAGGGGCTTTATTTTTCACTTTATTTCCTTACTCGGAATTTTTTAGAGATGAAGTCAATAAGAGGGATTCGTGAATTTTAAAAACAGAAGAGAAGGGAGTCAAGCATTATTCAATGGAGATGAAAATATTCTTCTGTAGATACCCTCCTCTCTCCCTGAAAAAAATGTTTTAATAGATTAGGCTTATTATTATTCTGTCTAAACAGAAAAGCCTAACCATCTTTGAAGGAAATTAACCTTTTCAAAAAGGGCATACGTGTTTCAAACAAACTCAATTCTATTTAAAGAACTTTTTAAACCACAACATTTTGATTCATTTATACCAAATAATGCATTTCTGTTTAATCTGTCAATCGAGGGAGGAAGAGCCACATGAATTCCAAGCCTCCAGCACCTGTCATTTATAATATTCCAAGAGAACCAGACCAGCAGAAGACAAAAGGGCACCCACATTAAACGATTACCACCTCTTACTGTAAAAGGCTCCGACAATCAATCCCAACTCTGGCAGTTTCGATTTCTGTATATACTCAGCAGCTTCCCCAACATCCACACACTCTAATATCCACAGTTTCTATGGAGTCCACCCTCCCTGCTCCCCATCACTGTGGCCCTAGAGGAGGTATACCAGCTTTTGGTACTGCTTGCTGAGCAATTCTACAAAGAGAGTCACACATAGTACGCAGACTGAAAAACAGAGCTACACAAACACAAACAGTGGAGGCTTTGGGAGAAGGTCTAGTACTCACATTTTTTAAGCCATTCTGGGGCAGTCCAAGAGAGCTAAGCAACAAAGACAAAATCCTTCAGCTAGTAAATTTGTATTACCAGCCAAGGCACCCAGTGAGCAGTCCATAGGTTCCCCCAGCGGTTCCCTTACATACCTCCCATTTCGTTAACGCTTCTCAATGTCTTACTCTTTCCACTATAGTCAAGGAAAACTGCTAAGAACTCGTACTTCTCCTCTCCCTTTAAATCAATCCCCACTTGCCTTCCAAACTCTCAAACTTACGGATTTCACACTAGTGCCATGAGCAGGAATCCAAAGTATTTATTTAAGACATTTTTGACACATACATATCCAAGCCTGCCATCTATCCAAACTACTTGTTTTTCTGGTTTTGACCGACAAAGTCCTACATGATTTGAATTCTAACTATTCTAAAAGTTAAAGAACAGAAAGGTTGAGAGGAACTGTAGCGCTCTTGCAGGTGATTCTAGCCTTGGCATTCAAAAGGGTGGTTGCCATAAACTCATTTCATTATCAGATCAGACTCAACTTCTTGCACATTAACGCACATTTAGTATTTTAGATAACTGGTAAATTTTATTATAAGCAGTAAAAGTGAAGTGGACTCAGAGGCTAGGCAGAGCACCTTTCCCTTTACACAGGGGCCTGGAAGTGATAAATAGAAAATAAGAAACAAAGAGATTATTCCTGTGAGAAGTTGAAAATCAACCTTAAGAGTTTATTTGTGAAGCACCACCCCCCAAATCATCTAGCTACTAAGTTAGAGACAGGAGATTTCACTGTAACATACAAAAGAACTTTCGGTAGAAAGTAGATTGTGGCTCTAGGCCAGGCGCGGTGGCTCATGCCTGTAATCCCACCACTGTGGGAGGCCAAGGCGGGTGGATCACGAGGTCAGGAGTTCAAGACTAGCCTGGCAAAGATGGTGAAACCCCGTCTCTACTAAAAATACAAAAATTAGCTGAGTGTGGTGGTGAGGGCCTGTAATCCCAGCTACTCGGCAAAGATGGTGAAACCCCGTCTCTACTAAAAATACAAAAATTAGCTGAGCGTGGTGGTGAGTGCCTGTAATCCCAGCTACCCAGGAGGCGGAGGTTGCAGTGAGCAGAGATCGTGCCACTACACTCCAGGCTGAGTGACAGAGTGAGAACCTGTCTCAAAAAACAAACAAACAAACCCCAAAAAGAAAGTAGATTAGTGGCTCAAGCAGAGGGGATGGGGAATGACTGCTCAAGGCTACACAGTTTCTTTTTGAGGTGATGAAAATGTTCTGGAATTAGGGCTAATACTTTGCAAAACCTTCCCAATATACTAAAAACCACAGAACTATATACTTTAAAAGGGCGAGTGTTACAGCATGTGAATTGAATTATATCTTGATTTTTAAAAAAGGACTCATAATCAACACACTGTATTCACAGAGGACCAGTTTCCTTTGCGTTTCTTCCTAAGGATGGTAGCAAAATGTCAAAATGGAGAGAGCTAGGCCTGCTCTAAATGTGCCTTCCAAAGATGTGTCACAGGTCCTGGGAGGCCGAGGCTTTGGCAAACAAAATTACTCACTGTTTTAGAATAGCTACTTATTTCTAAGCGAAGCTTATTAATAGAAAATGCCACTCTTCAGGACCACTGAATGAACATCAGAAACTGTTCTGGTGCAGCCTGTTAAAATCTGGCTAACTTAGCAAAGGGTTAACATGGCCTAACACAGCTTTAATCAGAGGTCTCCTTTAGCTAAGATTTTGCCAGTTCTTAGTTCTAATTGCCTCTTAGGGCATCTGAACACCCAGAGAAAACATCAGTACAGGATTTCCAGGTCCCCCAAATGTAAAACCCCAGCTCCCTCTTTTTCCAGTTGGTGCAGATCATCTTAGGAGTGAGCATATAAATGAGGACAAAAGGCAAACATGCTATATCCTATACAGTCTCAGGAAAAAGAAAATTTAAATTGGATACCGTGTCCTGACAATATGCATAAACTTAATTACCAGAGAATGAACCATGCATCATAAAAAAGTATTCAGTGTCCACTTGACTTCTCCCTGCAGATTTCTCCCCATATTACATGGAGTATCATCTCAATCTCAGTCTTAGTTCTATTTGTTCCCTGCTAATCCTAAGGTAAGACTTTTTATTTAAGCTATAAAACAAATTACCTTTCCAAGGTATTGCCCCAAAAGCAGTCAGCAAGGAGCCAGGTAGACAGTGGCCTACAAGCAAAGAAGCAAGCCCCAGGTACCATTCACAAGGCATGAAGGTGCACAGAGGGGAGAAAAAACAGGCTACCTCATGAAATCTCATTATTAGGTTTATCAATATATTTCCCTTTTTACCTAAAATGCTTGCAAGTCTCAGCATATCTAAACACATCCCAATTCAAAATTAAAAATCTATTTCCAAAGCTAAATAAATGAAGCAACCTTTACGTATAGCTCTGTACATTCTCAAATAAAAATGTGAATAAAAAAATTAGGAACTCTTTGAAGGAAGAAACATTTTCCTACTGTTTTCTGTTTGTAGGGTAGACTGAGAAAATCTGGGGGAAACAGAAAAATTTATGATATTTTCGTGTTCCATATTCCGGTTCTAGTAGCTATATTTAGAAATTAAATTTGGTATAATCATAATCAATTATTTGTGTAATTTAACACATTGCCCCTCACCCAGCAGTAATCACTGTCTGTTAATGTGAGGACTAGACCACAAAGCATCTCTTCCTCATTCTTTTCCCATCCTACTAAAATCTAATAAAAGGGAAATAAAAGGGAGAGTAGGAACAGGAGAAAATTACGAAGTCTCGTGGGAAAAATAAACACCAAAAATATAACAGAAAATATTTTCTCCTGAGTCACCACATATTTAGGCAACCACACTCTAAATGAGCATAATTTTCTGCAGATAAGGAAAACACAGTTTGTTCTGACCTACTGCTAACATGACCTGAGCACAAATTTGATAGATTCTAATGTGATTGTTTAGTGTTTCTGTTCTTTTATCAATGGCATTTTGGAGATCAAGGGTTAGTACAGAAAGAATTTTAAAACCCTTCACAATAGCACTCAACCACTGAAGAGAAAATCCAAGTGCCAAAACCAAAATCACGTAGGGTGGTGCAATTCATAATCTATTAAGCATAAGAAAAAGAACAGTTCTTCAAAGCAAGAAATGACAGACAAACATCTATTTGATAGCAGCCCTATGGATACGGTCAGGAGAAAGTTCAAGTGCCTACCAAGATAAC